TAGAGAAAATGTGGTACATTTACACAATGGAGTACTACTCAGCAGAAAAAAACAATGGAATCTTGAAATTTGCAGGAAAATGGATAGAACTTGAAGAAACCATTCTGAGAGAGGTAACCCAATCACAAAAAGACAAACATGATATGTACTCACTCATATGTGGTTTTTCGACATAGAGTAAGGGATTACCAGCCTACAGTTCATACTGCCAGAGGAACTAGTAAACAAGGAGGACTCTAAAAGAGACAAACACTGTCCCCTGGAAAAGGGGAAAGAGTCACGATCCCCTGAGCAAATTGAGAGCATAGGAAGAGTGGGGAGGGAGCTACATGAATGAGAAGGGAAGAAGAGGAAGGATGCAGAGGTCATGAGGGAGTAGAATGGTTGAGTCTAATGTAGATTAGAAGAAAGGATATGTGATAGGTAGGGTTTTAGTTGGCAGGTGGAAGGGAGGGAGAAGGGAACTGGGATTGTCATGTAATTCAATCTTGTTTGTAATTCAAATAAAAGGATGAGTTTAAAAATTAAAAAAAAAATGCCACCCCCTAAAGACGAATGGTTCCTATGTCAAAACCATGCAGGTTGTCTTTACAGACACCAGAAAGACCAGAGAAACATCCTTTGTCTTTACTATTTGGAGGGATCTTAGCCAGTCACCCCATTTGCATACCTTCTCTTTCCTAGCTCCTGATTTCTCCCAGATGGAAAAACTCTCTCTTCCACCCATATTCCCCAGGCTCATCTTCTTGAGTGAAGCAGACTTGCCCAGGCACTGTTGCCCCATGTGGTTTATCTCTTCTCTGAATTGCTGCAGAGCATGAGCTTCCTCTACATGCCGCAGAGCTGATGTCAAGCAAATGCCTTTGCTATGTCATAGAAATTGTAGAGGCTTTCCTTGGAAAAGGAACCATATGCCTGCTGTAATACCATACCTTTCAGAAGACTGTAGAGTTTCTTATGTCCCCAGACAGGGACCCATGAAGTGTCTAGTGTAATACTTTGTCTCCAATGGAGAAAAGTACTTGACATTTGCATTCTAAGACTTTCAAAGTCAAGCTTGAGTCCATTGGCCAGTTAACCTACTTTGAACTCTGTTCTGCTGTAACCAACATGAACATAAACAGAACATCTTGAAAATTGTTGTAAGATTTGAACAACAAAAGTGTATGAAAGCTTACAGACACATAGTAGGTACTCCATAACATTCTGGTGTTCTCCATAAGTACCAGGAACATACTATTATTCCCACATATAGATGGATAATCAATGAACATCCTTGAGTTCTTACTCTATGCCAGGATGTGTTTATGTACTTTCAGCCAGATTAAACTTCTAGGCTGTGTATCACCTGCCATTGAGATCTTGGCTTCCCTCGATGCAGTCCCCACCTGCACCAGTCTGAGTCTGAGGATGTTCAACATAGGTTTGATCAGTTCTTGAAGGGTAGTTGTGAACAGTGGCATGTTTTCTATAAAACAAAGAGCAAGAACAAGTTGCTGCCACATTGTTCTCAGATGATACTACTTTAAGGAAGAAGGTTCCTCAGCGCCTCCGAACACCTGCATGGCTGTATTCTCTGTGACATAAATTCCTGCAGCTAGCTGGGCAGGAATGACAAGCATCTGACAACCCTTGAAACAGGAGCAGCGTGTTATAGATGGGGGTGGCTATGAAGTCACTGAATGTGCACACCAGGTTTCCCAGTTCTGGAGTACACCCCTGGACTGCTAGAGCAGGCAGCTCTGCCACCCATATGTCTGCTCTGCCATGAGAACTGTGACTCAGTATATCCTCAGATATCCTTTTTGAAACAGCCACTCTGAGTCAGAGGAAAATTTTTCTTGTCTTCACTTGCTCTTAACCATGATGTCTTTATTTACCCACTGTGATCTCCGTTTTTTTGTTTGTTTGTTTTTTTGAATACTGAATCCTGAAAGAGACTATTTTTACCTTCTGCTTTTTGATTCTGCCAAAACGTAGATGCAGAAAGTCTTCTCCAGCTACTGGCCTGGTGGCTTCTGCTTCGTGTCCTCCTTGTGACCAGCCCTTTGTATTCTCTTTGCTCCAACTTAATTATGTCAGTGTCTGCATCTTCCAGGAGAGTGTGAAATGTTATTCTTTTATTGAGTGGCATAAAATATGTCTAATCTCAAGTATTAATCTATCTCAATTAAGCTGTCTCCTTAGTACTGTGATGCATAGCAGTGTGCTGATGTAGGAACTGTTTGAACAGATTGGAGAGTCCCTGCCATGAAGGATTTAGGTGAGGGGCCTTCTAAGTGGAGTTCAGAGATCAATTTAAAAAGTACTGTGGTGCTCTAGGGACATAGCTCAGAGAAAGCACATTCATGGCCCTGAGTTTGATTTTGATTGTGTGCATGATAGATAGATAGATTAGATAGATAGATAGATAGATAGATAGATAGATAGATAGATAGCTCTATTTGATGACCATCTTTTCAATGTTTCCATTCACTTGGTAGACTTACCTAAATGAGAATAAAACACCCTGTATTATTGACCTTGGGGAAAAGTAGCAAGTATTATATTCTTTTCCCATGAAAACAACGAGATGAAATATTTCTGTAGGAATTTAGGGATCTTGCATTGCATTTCAAAGACATGCTTCTAAGGTTCTATAGGAACAGAATTAACCCCTAATAGTGCATCATGCCCCTGAGTCATTGTTCCAGATGTACCTGGGTTGCAAGTCCACACATCTAGAATCCCAGATGTTCCTGGTAACTGAGCATGGCTGTTGTTAGAATCATGTTGCAAACTATTTACTGTTGGCCAGCCATCTCATATAACCGTATGAAGTTAAAGTTCTATGGGTAACATTTGGAGATATTTCTACACTTGTTTTGGTCTTTTATAATTTCAAAGGCTTGGCATATTTCCCATGTAGGGATGGATTCTGACAGGACAGTCATTTATAAAACAGGAGTGTAGAAGGAAGTGAATCTTAGACATACTCAAAGCAGCAAAATAAGGAAGTTAAGACTATTTAACTTCCATTAAATTGTTAGGTACCGGGGGCCAGCCTACTATTAAATGAATCATCTTCCTCTAAGAAGTGCCTCCACTCTGAATTGGAATTGCTCATTAAAATGTGGTCTAAGAGGGTTTGAGAAGACCGCCTAGGACAGGGTGGACCGTACCCATCCTGAGCTTTACATCTGCCAGAGTCTGTGGCATATGGGGTTTGCTCAGATGTGTGTGCACAGGAAACGGTGAGAAGGTGGGGCATGAAAAAGAATGGCAGGAAGAATAGGGAAGATGTTTCTTCAGAAGAGAGAAGTGCAGCTTCTTCCTCCATTGGCCTTCTCCTCTGCAGAGCTGCTTGCAGCCTACCAAACCCATCTTCCAGTGGAAAATCCTAAGTGTGTCTGAAGACTGTTGGGATGAGCATGATGGAGTGATAATGGTGTTAGATACTGTCATCATTTATAAAACAGAGGTAGACAAAGTCCTTCCAAAGAGCATGGGCCCTAACTTGCTTTCAGCCCCATAGATATGCTGAATGCGTGGTTGAGTTGCCTCCCCAGAAGTCAGTTAATATCTCAGTCTGAGAACTGTAGGAAGTTTGCTGTTTACTTCAAATATAACTCGTACCTATTCTTTCAATTTTCCACTGAGGACTGTAGATAAGTAGCAGATTTGTATCTCTCTGCTGACCTTACCTGCATGTGTGCACATCTCAGGCTACCATTTCTTTTAAAAACTTTTCTTCTTAGCTCTATTTATGTTATTATTTTATGTGTATGAGTGTTTTGCCAGCAAATATATATATATATATATATATATATACATATATATATCATATGCCTGCCTGCTGCCTGTGAAGGTCTAAAGAGGGCATCAGATTCCTGGAACTGGAGTTACAGACAGTTGTGAGTCACCATATAGATGGTAGGGATAAAAACATGTCCTCTGCAAGAGCAATGAGGACTCTTAATCTTTGAGCCACTGTCCAGCCCCTGAGGCTCCTCTTTCATTGAGAATGACTTTCTTGATATTGTGCCTTTTGTTTCTTTAAAATTACATTTATGGGTGTGTGTGTGTGTGTGTGTGTGTGTGTGTGTGTGTGTGTGCTCTCATGCATGTGTGCACATAAACAGATGTAGATGTCAGATGACACATTAGCTGATGGAGTCAGAATTGGTTCCTGCCTTCCATTGTGTAGCATCTGGGAATTGAACTCAGGTGTAGGAGTTACAATTTGAGAAATCTCACCTCTAATGTACATCAGGAGAGTCCCTGGGATCTGAAATCTGTTTCCTGAACTTGTTCTCACAAACGTTAGGAAATGTAGAAATGTAGGCTGAGCGTGCTGGCATACACCTCTAGACTAAGGTGGGAGGATCGCGAGTTCAAGACTGGTATGGACTTCATAGCAAGACCCTGGAAATCTAGGCTACCTAGCAAGTCTGAGAGATGGTGGGAGTGAGGAAGAAGAGGAGGGAAGGGAGGGAAGAAAAATTAAAAAAAAAAAAACAAGAGAGAAGAGAAAAGAGAAATCCTTGCTATTCCTGGCAGATATTTTAATGATAGCCTGTCTGTCATACGTATCCAGTGACATGGTCTGTTCTACACCAGCAGGAAACAAAGCAAGGCAGAGGTGTCAGCTACATGGTTACAGGGGCTTGTAAAGGGAAAGGGAAACATTTCATAGAAATAGTCAAAATTCTGCTTCAAAGATGTTTAAGTATTATTATTATTTTATTATCATTATGTGAATGAGATGCACAGAGCAAGTGTGTTCTTCAGAGACCTGCAACACACACATCTGGACTTTAGAGAGCCCCACCTCAGGGTTACTTAGCTCCCAGCAGCTCAGGGATAAGCTGTGAGATGACAATTGTAAAGGCTCATCTCCACTTGATGGAGCTGTTCTCCTCTTGGTCCTCAGGATGTGAAGGTGGATCTGTATGCATGAGTCAGCTTTTCACATCCCTGATGGTATTTGCTTTTGTGTTGTCTTTTCTAGGTTTGCTGGCATGGGAAACTTGCTCAAAGTCCTGACCCGGGAAATTGAGAATTATCCACACTTTTTCCTGGATTTTGAAAGTAAGTTCTGAGCACTGTAACACAATAATGGAAGCCCTGCACTTGCTTTGTAGCTTGTTTGTAAGGAAGTTATAGAGATTTTGTATGAGACTCAAACCAAATCCAAATTGCATCATGTATTTCTTTCTGACATTGTTTCTAAGCTGTCTTCCTCTACCCTTTCTTTATGAATTTTAGAAAACTAAAGAAAGTATTAATTTAATTGGTCCATGGTTTTCTTTGATTTTATAAGGATTAGCTTTGGTCTGATATACATCAAACTTTATCATGAATCTTCCCTAATATATTATACGCAGTACTATTCCACATTCCAAAGAAAAATGGTAAACACATAACTGACAAGGGAGAGCATTAAGTACCGTTATACAACCAAGGGAGAAAGTGACTACCCAGAAATCAGGCTTATTATTTTTCATCAATGCCATCTATTTTATGTATTATCTAATTGTATAAAATTATTTCTGGATTTTTGAAATGTACATATGCATTTTGGTCCAAAGGTTATTGCCCTGGTTTTTATTTTATACCTGATACAACCTAGAGTTACCTAAGAAGAGGGAACCTCAATTAAAGAATACTCAATCAGATTAACCTGTGACTGTGTCTGTGGGTTATTGCCTTGGTTGCCTACTGTGGGCAGCATCATCCTTAGGCAGGTGACCCCAAACTGCATAAGAAAACTAGCTGAGTCGTGAGTCAGGGAGCTAGCCCAGAGAGCAAACAAGTTGGGAGTATTTCCCCAGACTTTCTGCGGCAGTTCCTGCCCTGTCTTCCTTTGATTTTGATGGCTTGAGATTCAGGAGTGTAACCCAAATAAACCCTTTCTTCCCCATGTTGCTTTTGGTCAGAGTGTTTAGCCATAGCAACAGAAATGTTAAATAGAACAGTTATGTCTCCTTTACCAAAACATTATAATTAAATTTTTCTGGAGTAAGATGACCTAAAAGTCATTTTTAAATAAACAGAGATCATGTTTTGTTCATTTTATTGACTAAATCTATGTTGGTTCAAACTAGGTTGGTATTCCCACACTTTGCCCCTTTGTACATGTATGCCAGTGTATGCCTGCCCCTCTCTCTGCCCCTCTCTCTGTCTCTGTCTCTGTCTCTGTCTCTGTCTCTCTCTCTGTCTCTGTCTCTGTCTCTGTCTCTGTCTCACTCTCTCTCTCTCTCTCTCTCTCTCTCTCTCTCTCTCTGTGTGTGTGTGTGTGTGTGTGTGTGTGTGTGTGTGTGTGTGTGTGTGTGTGCTTATAGGTGTTACATGTAAATGTGGGTACACACATGGCATAGTGTGCATGAAGAAATCAACTTTCAGGAGTTGATTCTCAGTTTTCACTTTGAGGCATTCTCTCTCATGATTTCTGCCACTATCCTGTATAGTCCAGACTCTACCCTGCATACACCACACTCTAGTCTGCATACTCCAGGCCAATACCCTGCATACACCACACTCTACCCTGCATACTCCAGGATCTACCCTGCATACTCCAGACCCTATCCTGCATAATTCAGGCACTACCATGCACATTCCAGGCTCTAGCCTGCATACTTTAGGCTCTACATTGCGTAGTCCAGGCTCTACCCTGCAAACTCCAGGCTCACCAGCCATGAAGCTTCTGGGGTGATTCTTTTGTCTCTGCTCCTATCTCATTTTAGGAGTACTGGGATTACAGATGCTAGCTAACCTCTCCAGTTTTTTAAACATGGATTCCAGGACATGAGGCTTGCATGGCCATTGCTTTTACCCACCAAGCCATCTCCCTGCTCCCTTTTTGTTTTAAACTACACCCCACAGTAGTTCAAACCCAGCTGGATATCTCTTTTGTGTTCACATCTACTGCCACTTTAACTTGCTTGAAACTTTAAGTATTTATATTAAAGAAAATGGTCAGAAAGTCTTCAGAGATAGACTGAATTTTCTAGCAGTTTTGTTAATTAAATGCTAGAATATCTTTCCAGGTTGTAGACTGAAAGCTCTCTAAAGTGCTGTATGGTGTCTTTGGCATATTTAAAACAGCTGCTAAAAAAAGTGGCTCCAGAACTCATGAATTCTGATAACAAAACTCTTAAATTATGTTCCCTGAAAGATACTTGGGTTTTGACCTAACCCAATTCCTCCCTGCTGTTAGTGGTTGTGTTGGCTTGGTTTGGTTTCATTTCCATTTGGTCTGATAAGGATTTCAGCTAGGAACTCAAGATGAATTCATCTATAATTCTTCTGAAATCTCTGTCTGTATGTACATATGTACACATGTGTGTGTATGTTACTGTTAAAGTAAGTTGTCTGTAATCTTAACCACCCCACTTTGTTACTTTAACTTTAATCATTCCCTTCCATTTTTATCTCATACCTTTTGCAAGATTGCACTCAGCGAATACAGTGGTTAAGAATAATGCCTAAGTCTCCATTCATTCACAGTTTACAAACACCAAGGAACCCAGAGTAATCCCATGTCCGCTGTGGCTGGGGAGCCACAAGAGGCTGTGAATTCCCTCCTGCCAGAATTCAGTGGCCTTCACTATTGGTCTAATTGTCTTGATTTCTTGGCTTTCTACACTGCCATGAATGTTGAATCATTTGGTAGGGTTAATCTTCAGAAACTTGCAAGAGTACAAGTAAAGCCTGCAAGGGTTTAAAACAGTTATTTCCAACTGGTCCTCTCTGAGGCTCTGAGGTTTATCTTGGAAAGACCCTCCCTACTGCATAGCAGGCAAGGTGGCCTTTGAGGGCTCAGTTCCTTTTCCCTATTGTCTTTGTATTCTGGTCTGCTCAGTCATATGCTTCGGAAATTGTTGTACTGTGGTCCTGGCTAAATGATATGTTTAGAGAGACTGAAATTTGCTGTCCATGAAACAAAAACTCCCTTTACGCATATTATAATTTCTTCAAGAGAAGGAAGCAAGCACTGGATTTCCATGCCAGATGGCCTTCTATTAGGAATATAACTATAATCTGTAAAGATAATATAAATTTAGAAAAAAATGTGCAGAATTCAGAAAAAAATGTGCAGAATTCTGGCTCTTTTTCCAAAGAGAGAATCAAAAGAAACTCCTTTCATATTCTCCAGAAGGTTAATTTTCTTTTCCTAATCTCTAGGAGGGAACTGATGGAGCTGAGGTCATACACGGAATGATTAGAGAAGTAAGATGGGAACATGGGTCCTTCTAGCTCCCACTTTCTGCTTTGTCGTCCCCAAATGCTCAGCACAGCAGCCAGCAGCTTATTTGAAGTACCCTAGCATCATCCTATTCCTTATTAGGAAAGACATGTTTTATTTCTAAACTAAACCTGAAAAGCAGAACAAACAAAACAATAGCAAAAATACTCTTTTTATCCTAAATATCTCCCTCACTCCCCAGACAAAATTTCTGTGTATAGCCCTGGCTGTCCTAGAACTTGCTCTGTAGACCAGACTGGCTTTGAACTCAGAGATCCACCTGTCTGCCTCCCCGAGTGCTAGGATTAAAGGTGTGTGCCACCACCACCCATGGCTTAAATATCATATTTCTTAAGGAGGTTTTTAAGAAAGACCAATGATAACAGAGGTGGAAAATGTAGACCTTAGGAAGATTTTTTTTTCCTTGAGTCTATGGGTTGCAGCTTAATCAAGAAAGGGTATGTTGACCATGATGTGACTTCCATGTCAGCCACACACCAGCAGGATTTGGAGCTAACTGAGAATAGCCTAATGGAAAAGTCACAAACTAAAGTGGAGAACCAGATAGACATGTACTTGAAGACAAACTAGGAGACTTGAGAAAGGCCTAATATGCCACCAGAGGACAGAAGGGAACAGAATTTGCATCTAGGTTCTGGAAATGAAGGGCCACAGAAGGAATAAGGGTGGCACATATCGAAACAGGTGGCATTTTATGAGCTTTACAGAGTGTCTAGTTTTTCTGCAGGCCCAGATGGGGTGAAGAGTTTTCCAAAAGATGGAAATAGTGTGATTAAAGACTTAGAAATTAGAGTAGAAAGGACATGTTTGAAGAACAGCAAGAAGACAGAGCACCAAAAGCTTGTTGAGAAAAAGGGAGGAGGGACTTGAATGGAAGGCTGGTTTAGTTAGCTGGTGTTAAATATACACTTGCAAAGCCAACGCTGGAGGCGCATAATTAGAACTCAACATCCAGACAGAGGAGCTAAAATCCCTTGGGAAATGGGTGAACAGATAAGAACTTAAGACACTACACTGAAAAAGGCTTCAGTGGGTAAGGGATCCTGGGGAGATGCCCCAGTAGAGATTAAAGGATACCCTACTAAGTTGAGATTCCTGGGGGCAGAGTCTGAGCCCTACTGAGTGTTGTGACCCAGCACCTAGACTTATGTTGAGCAGGGGTTTGAGTACTGCATGAACGTCAGGGGTAGATGATGATCTTGGAAAGGAAGAAGCAAGCAGGCCAAATCTAGGCAGTGAGGAAAACACAGGGAGTCCAAATACCACACAGTGGTCAAGGAAGAGAACAACTCGAATGGGAGATGACCGTTGAACATTTAGATGTCACTCCTCACCCTGGGGAATAATATTTGCAGTTTGTTGCTTTCTATCCAGAGGCTGGGTGGTAAAGTGTTAAGGAGTGAGGGGTGGAGAGAGGAAGGAAGGCTAAGCAGCATGTATTAACAGCTTAAATGAATTTAGCACATCTTTCTTCAGGGTTGAATATTCTTTTTGAAGTCAGTGATGGGATATAATTGAACTGGGTCAAATAGATGTAATTAAGCTGGGTCAAAACATAATACAAAATTAGATACATCTGTCCTTGGGTTCCTAGGTGGCAAGGATCTGATTTAAATTCCTGTTGACCTTTTCAGTGATTTCTACAATTTATGATCATATTTTCTCACAGACCCTTAACATCTTTTTTTTTCCCATTGCATCTTTTATGCTTTTACTTTTCTTTTCCTTTGTCTCTCTCTGCCTCCTCACTAGGCCTCACTTTCCTCTTTGAAAGCCAAGAGGCAGGGGTGTGGTAGGGAAGATTAATGAATGTCGTTTCAAT